CATCTCACGGCCGAGCAGAAGTTGGCCACATGCGGATAAACGATTAATCTATTTTATTAAGATTCTGTCGTCTTAATCTTACTATACTATTGAACTTCCGCTCGCAATAGTTCAAAAACAGAGGTAGTACTTACCAATATTAACGTCCAAATTCGACAATCTCCCACTGAATGCAGTAAGGTCGTCGTCCATGATGCCAGTTTAAGCTCAACAGTTCGTCACAGTAAACTGCGTCATTGACCGCCACGCCTCGTTAGCCCACCCCATTGCAACATCAAAAGGTACTACATACAAGCGGTCTTGTCGACCGGACGCGACTTTGTTGTCTGCTCTAATGCATTTTGGAGGTGACGCTGCTTGAACTTGGTCATGAAAGCGCCGATGATCCCAGCGTCTAGGTGCTTTAGGTAGGCTGTCGTATTTGGGGGTACTGGCAGCATCTTGGCACCGATGTTGGACAGGGGTGTGGTCTCGACACCAGGTGCGGCGGGTCATTGTCGACAAGCCAAAACCTTTCCGCCCTATTCTGTCATCTTGACGTTCAGGGCTTCCTGGTACGAGTTGAAAATGTTCGAGGTCATCCAACCCTTATTACTCGCGTAGTAATCAAACCCAAGCTCCGCGGCGTTTGACCACTGAAGCAACGAGGTTTTGCTGCCCTGCTCATGAACAAGGGGTCGATTGTGTCGGTGCCGGCTGCGTTCGTGGTAAGTGCCATCGTGATGCGTTTCTATGACGTCATAGTCCCAGGTACCCGATTGCGCGTAATGGACCGATGTGGTGACATACAGAAAAAACACGACATTTCGTATATGTTGAGAAATTTCTTACTGAAGGAACCGGTGGTCATACTTAGGACCTCGCGGTGTTGACGGTCTCTTGGGGAAGGATCTAGCCGCGACGTGCTGTACCTTCCTGGTAAACCCATTTCTTCTCTCGAATTTGGTCAACCACCTTGGAGAATCGTGAAAAGTTTGTATGTTTTGACGCCGAGTTCACCACTAGTCGTTTGAGCCCGCTGCCTGATGAGGTCACTGTGTGATACACACACCTAGCTCTTCGAAGCGAAGTACCCACGCCACGAGCTTCACTTCGACCTCTGGAAACGCGACCCGTTGTTCCTTCGTACGCTTGGCCTTGTCGATACGCAGGCTCGGCGTGCTGTAGCTCTAGAGAACGTGCGCGACAGTCGGCTTCGATGGAATTGACGCGAGACCAAATGTTTGAGCTACCCATAAGGCTAAAGCAGAGTAGGATACATTAGGTTCGCTTAGATGCTTCGCATATAACTCATGTTTCTCCACAAGTCATCCACAACTTCATTTGCTTGGCATACCTAGTTTGAACTGCTGCAGTCGTGTTCAAAATTTTGAAATATGGCATTAAACGTGATAAAGTCAGCGTACGTGTTGGCTTCATCGAACTCCTGCGTCGAAAAATAAAAATTATCAAATTTGCTCGAAGGTACCGTTGTATTGATGAATGGTGAACCACAATACGTGAAATTGCCGAGGAGATATCGTTGACAGCAAAAGGTGCTGACAAACAATTCGCCGCGTTCGTACAATTCAATGACTTGTACAAAATTGGTATGTATCGTCCGTTTAGACGTGCACACGAAATAATGTGAAGCCACCGGTGCACTTGCGTTACAGTGAACACCAGTTGAAGCCGACACCCCAAAAAAACTTACAACCTCTATAACATGATCAAATTTAAAACATTCTGCTACCCTTGGCGACACAAAATAAGCCCACCCTAGCATACGTGTGATTGGTCACATTCTTGACCAATGATGTGTACCAAATTGTGCCAATTACCTGTCATATTCATTATAATATTTGACAGGAAATTTGATTAAACGAGACGACATTATATCGAGAATTCGCAAAATTTAGACGAAATTTTCGCAATTATTGAGAGAAAAAATGATTCCTCACCGGGAATCGAACCATTGACCAATTGGAAAGACGGTATCGCCGTCAAAATGCATACATTATTCAGAGGCGTCGTCGCGTTTAAGCACACGTAAGGGCTTTCGGGTCCCGTGGGCCGGCATAGATGTTTCTTGGTCGTCGTTGGACGTAGCTGGAAGGTAGCTTCACACGTGCCCTCCTATCTTGAGGATCCCCACGAGCGCGTCACTACAACCACCTCTGAATACCTTTTTTGATGTAAACACAAAAGAAAGAACTTCACATTGAATTCTTACCAAGTACTTTCTCAAAGCTATGAATGACCTGTTCCGCAGAAATCATTTCCCAGGCTTGGATCGCGCGACGAATCATTAGTTGCCTACGACTCTGGGCAGTAGCAGGAATTTCCTCCTCAGTGAGCAGCAAATTGCGCAAATTCTTCTTGAAAATGCCCATGATGGTAACATCCAGTGGCTGACATCTTGAAGTCGAATTTGGTGGGACTGGAAATATTGTTGACGACAGCTCCTGCGCAAACAAGGCCTTGCTCCGCTCGGATACATGGCATTCAAAATTGTCCAGGATGAAGACTCCGGGCTTCCCTTTCATCCATGGCTTCAAAACATTCTTCACGTAGTACTCCCACACATCACTGTCCATCCATCCCTTTTCTTGCATGCAGTAAAAGTGGCCATTGGGATAGGTCTTGAACTCGTTTGACTCAATCACTCCATTTTCGACACCACGGATAACGAAAAGAATCGGGAGCTTAACACCATCAGCGCGGATCGACATATGGGCCGTCATTCGGTAACAGTGCTTTGAGGTATTGGCCACATAAGCCCCCTGTCCACGGAATGCCCAGATTGTATCAGGTGCTAGGTCGCAGGTGATGCCAGTCTCATCGCAATTGAAGAGTTGATTCCAAGGCGTCTTGGCGTGCACGGCCTTGAATTGAGAAGCAAAGTCCTGCAACAGCGCGTCCAAGTCAACTTGCTTGTGTTTTTGCCGCTGAACCCGCTGGCGCGTCATCCCAATACGATGGCAGAAACGCTGGAGCATCCTGAACAAAGACTTGGCGCCACCGCGAGTAGTGTCCATGTAGTGCCGGAGCCAGCCCATGTGATGCACCTTCAGGTAGTTGATGAGATGGGCCATGGTGATTGGCCTCTCATCCCGCCTCATGTCACGACAGTAGATGGTAAGCCCATGGGGATCTGGCAGCTTGGTCTTTCTTCCAGCTCCACGGAGGCTCTTGGACGTGGACTTGGGTCCCTTGAACTTCTTGAGCTGGTCAATGGTCCTCTTCCAATTTCTGATCGTTTCTTCCTTGTAGCCTGATATCTTGCTTGCTGTTGGTACGTTGGTGTTCTCCAACGACATGACGACATCGATCTTGGACTGAATCGGCGGCCGGAAGCGCCGCTTAATCTCGGACGATGACATGCAAATTGGATAAAGTTGTGAAGGTGGGAAATTTGAATTTTTAAATTTATTTTATCCAATCAGAAGTCATTTTTATATTTATTGGTTGAAATTCACGAATTTATTGAATTATAGAGGGTGGGCTTATTTTGTGTCGCCAAGGGTAGTGCGTCAGTTTTCCTTTTGACCAATTGCAGTGTCAATTCAATAGAATCTGTGATTGACTGACAGAAATTATCCTGATTATAGCCAATCAAGTTGGACGAACTCACCTTAACAGTAAATAAACTCGGTGCAGAA